CCCCCCCCCCCAAACTTAACTCCCAACCGATGTGGGACTTTGGCATTTTGCCAAACTTCAACAGGTATCTGTATTTTGGTATTATTTTTATAAATACCTAATACCATACCTAATACCAAATTTTTTAAAAACTTAAACCAAATATTATACCAAATACTAAAATACCGAATATCAAATACCAAAATTTTTGATAGATAATTCCGTATTTACCAAATTATACACGGCCCTACCAGCATTCCATATATGGTAGGTCAGCCCTACGTGTTCTTGCATTATTTCAAAAGAAATTTGTGAGAGGGTTACACCTTGGATAATTATTTTCATTAACTTTCAGTTTCACTTTCATGTTGTGCGTTACAGGTGGTCTTTGATAGCGAACCATTTCCCTGGCCGAACAGATAATGAGATAAAGAATTACTGGATCTCTAACTTACGTCGAAGACTTTACAACTTTAGGCACAAAGGGATTATTAAGAATACTGTAGAGGTGCCGAAAATGGCAGTTGTTGTTGACGAAAATTGCGAATGCATCTCGAGAAAACGCGATCGAGTATGCCAATTCAAGTCCAAAAAATACAAGAATAACACGACCACCTATGAATCCACTTGTCATGGAGGTTGTGGTGGAGCTACATGGTCTGAAAGTGGTTCGAATGAATCACATTTACCGGAAAATTATACTACTGATACCGGTAAGAAAAATTCTTATTTATGTACACTTCCATCCTTTTTATTTTATTTGAAGGTATTTGATTGGACAAAGTTTTGAAAAGGATTAGGTTTTCGAACCTATAAGCTTGAAATACTTGCTCCGGCTCTGTTGAATTGTTCTATCGGTGGAATTTGAGGTCCTTGGTCTCTTTATATGATCTTGGTCAATCCTCACCTCATAAGCTAACTTTTGGGGTTGAGTTAGACCCAAAATCCATTCTTATTCGCCTCTGCTTAGTTGTCTAACACTTTTTTCGAACTTTTGTTGGACTTTCTGATTTCGCCCCTGACCGAAGGAAAAGGACTAGAAACACAACAGCATGAACATCATTTAGAGTCAGAGATAAGTGAGCAAAGAAAAGAAGAAGCTGAAGACAACAAGAAGAAAGACATTGATATTACACCTAAAAAACAACTTGTGTAATGGGATGTTAGAGGAGCAACAGAATGAATGTTTGCATGATTTTGAGAATGGGTGTGACATGAATTTTGATTATTTCTTAGAGGAGCAAAAATGGGTTGATCAGTTGTAACACCCCTCAAATTATAAAAGTTTCGAGACACGTTATTTATAGAATTAAGTTATTTTTTTTCTTTTTTTTCTTGCTTATAGTGAATATATATATATATATATATATATATATNACACACACTTAAATAATTGGATATACAATTAGAGAAATATTAATAATTTTAATATTATTAATTATTAAAAGTGGATACCGAAAAAAAGGGGCCAAAAGCCCATAAAAGGGCTGATGGAACAAAAAGGCTTCAAGCCTTAAGGAAAAAGAACAACATTCTGTTATTCACGATAAGCATCAGAAGGCAAAAGCCTTAGACCAAAAATAGAGCAAACTCACGAAACAGAGAGCCAGGAAACTCACGCAAGCAACGGAAAAATCTAGGATTTCTTACAAATCACTAATTCTTAAACTCAGGTATGTAAAATTCCCTATGGTCAATTACCCTACAATAGTAATAGGTAAGAATTGAATAGTTAATTCTCTTCTTCCTCTATAACAACAATAAATCTCATATTTAGGTGTGAAATTTTAAAATTGATTAAAATCAACTGGTTTGTTGTAGAATCGATTGTTTGAATGGTGTCAATTGGACTGGGGCCTACGTATTGGCTTGAAAAGTTTTGAGGTGAGTTGATATAACCCTTTACTGAAGTGGTTTAACTCACAAAAGCACACACACAAGGTGTTTGATGAATTGTATAAAAGAGTTAATATATACTTAATTGGAGTAGTAAGTACTTATTAGCTTAAAATTATTTTCTAGGTAAAGTTTAGATGATTATTTTGATATATGGGTATAAATTTCAGATTTTTTATGTTATTCTTATATGCTATTTTCATGTTGAAAATTCATGAAGGATCAAGAATCTTTATAAATACTTTTGAATGTTTATTTCATTCTTATCCCATGCCTTACATTTAAGGATGCTAGTATGAGTATGTATAAAAGATTTAGACTTGAAAAGTCACAAGAAGAAGTTTTAGAAAGAAAAGATTTTTGGGAGTATCCTTTATTCTGAGAAGGGGCCATTGTCCAGGCCTAGGGTCCTGACCAAGGCGTTGACTTCCTGAAACTACTTGTACCAAAGTAGGGAGCACACGAGCCGAGGGTCTCGTTGCTGAGAATTTACTTAGCCATGCTAAGGTATGAGACATGAGCGTTGAGAACCATGAAGCGAGTGGCACCTCGTGGATTGGGCCTATTCGATCAGGTTGGGATCGAACCCGTGCCGATCAAACGGTGACTGAGATAGAATTAAGTTAGGATAGTTGGAACTCCCAAAGTATAAAGAGAAGTAAAAAAAATTTAGAAAAAGAAAAGAATTTCTTTTAGAATATTCATAAACTGCTATTATGCAATTATTTTAGAATTGTTCTTAGAGGCTTTATGTTTTCTATGCAGTTATATTCTTTGCTCGTAATGTGTATTGTATTAAAGTTGTGTCCCATGTTGTTGAGACTCACTGAGTACAATGGATGGTACTGACGTTCTCTTTTGGGAACCTACGTTGGTCTGCGGTACAACATTGGAATCGATTTTGCAGGCGAGCAGGCTACGGGTTAGGACTTCCTTCTCTTCCAGTGCTATTGGTGAACTTCGCTTTTGTTCGTGAAGTATTCCTTAGAGTTATCTTTATTTAGTTATTTCTTTGTTTACTTAGAGAACTGGCCAGGAAATCTCATGTCTTGATCAATGCGTCAGTTTATCAGTAAAGGCTTCATAGACATAGTCAATGGGTTAAAATTCAGATGTTTTTGATAATAACTTAGTATAAATTCAGTAGTTATTACGAATAAAGTTTTGGAGTTTATTTATTTAAATATTTAAATTAATCAAAAGTATTTGGTTGGAGTATTGCCTTGTTGCATATAAAGTTTGGAGTTATAATAGATTTGATAAACACAGATAGTTCGCTCGGTCATATTTAGTGATCGAGTGCCGGTCCCGGCTTGTTCAGAAAATGGGTCATGACAAACTTGGTATCAGAGCCTCAGGTTTATGGAGTCCTAGGGGTTTATGAAGACGTGTTAGTAGAGTTTTGTTTATGTGTATGAAGTGCGTCATACTTATAAACAGGAGGCTACAAGCATTTAGGAAAAGTCTCATTTTTTCATACTTTAGATCGTGCAGTAGAGCCTACCTCTAAGAAATTATCTAATGTATTCTTTTCTCCAAAACTCGCAGATATGGCTCGTATTTGCAACTCTGACACTGACACTCAGGATGCTGCTCAAGAAACTATTGCTACTATTGTGGCTCAAGGCAGAACTAAAAAGTTTTTAACTCAGAAAAGGAAAGGTAGATCCATAAAAAGGGTCCAAGTACCCCGGGTTGAATATGAAGAAGGGGTGGAGCATAATGATCCCGTACCTCAGGATCCAGTACCGCCCCTAACAGCAGCTCCGGCTCAGGAAACTATATCTCCCGAGGTGGGTCAGATGTTTAATACTGTCAACAGTTCTATGGAGATGTTTAAAGCCTTTATGGCCAACCAGAACAAGAGAAGAGATGAGATTCCACCTCAATCAAATAGACAGAACAATTTTGAGTCCTCAAGAGTGAATGAATTTTTGAAGTTGAGTCCTCCAATGTTCCATGGTTCTATAGTTAATGAAGATCTGATGTTGTCGCTGGAGGGTGTAAGGAAAGCCCTTCGAGTGATGAAAGCATTTGATGATGAAGTTGTGGAGCTAGCTACTTACCAGCTTAGAGATGTGGCCGGTGCTTGGTTTGAGATATGGGAAAAGGAAAGAGATGAAGATGATGGTCCGTCTACTTGGGAGGAATTTGAAGAGGCCTTCATGGCTAACTTTATCCCAGAAGAGGATAGGGAAACTAAGTCTATAGAGTTCGAACAGCTCAAGCAAGGGAATAAAAGTGTGCAAGAGTACTACATGAAATTCATAAGGTTAGCTAAGCATGCTCCTCACATGGTTAAGACAGAAAAAGCAAAGATTCGCAGGTTTGTTGGCGGTTTGCTTACCACATTAAGGATAAGACATCAGCTGCAGCAGTAGGGATGACAGCCTTCTCCTCTGTTGTGGGATTTGCCAAGCACTTAGAAAAAGACAGACAATAAAGGAGAGAATAAAAAGAGAATAACAAGAAAGCTCGGACAACGGGTAGGTTTAATGGTACATCCAGCGGAGATGGAAGAGATTCCTCTAATATGGAGTCATTAGCACCAACTCAGTCCAGTCATCAGTCAGGTGGTGGGTCTTCCTTCAAACATACTCAGAGTTATGGAAATCAGTCTCGCCAGAATCAGAATTTTGGGACACCATCCTCACATAGCCAGAGTCATGCTGAGCAACATTCACACCAACAAGGTCTTTGTG